ATAACAAATAAAATTTATTAAATGATTTTGAAAACATATGAAAATAAATATATTTCTACCTTTTCTCTTGCATCTGAAGTCATGCAAATATTTGCTAAAATACTTAAAGTCACGTTCACTATTTTTGTATTATGATAATGCAGTAAATTTACTAAAATGCCTAATCCTCCATCTTTGGCAAATTGTTTGTAACACTTTGAATCATTTTTAAGCCGTACTAAACACGACAAAATCCCGCTTTTTGATTCTAATTTTATATATTTTAATAATTCTTGCAATACCGGGCCATCTTGTCTCTCGTCCATATTTGGTATTTTTATAAATAAATGGAAAAATTAATGAAAATTCGTTAATTTTCTAAAAGAAACATAACCTCTAAATTGTATTACTACCGAGGCTGACAGCTACACCCGTATAGCAACTTGCAAAAATAAGTGAAAAAAAATTTAGTTTATTAATAATTTCTTATTATTGAAATCTGTTCAGAAGACGATTTTGCAATATACATTATGATAATTTGACGTTTAAATTTACAGTTTTATAAGTACAATTAAATAATTATTTTGCAGAATTATATTTTTAAATGTCCCGCCGTTTAATTTTAATTTAAAATACGCACACTGTGGCACTACAATACTTTCAATATACATAGTTCAATATAATAATTAATAGATATGCATTAATAAATATATAAAAGATTGAGGAATATAATAATTGAAACAATTGTACAATATATTAATGATTCGAAAGAGAAATAGAATAATAATAATAATAATGTCTAGTAATTTCTATTAATAATAATTACATAAATTTAATATTTATTTAGTATTTATTATAACTTATTATTTAACAGTCTGAAGTGATCCTTTTTCAATAATGCCAGAAATAGACTTTTAGAAAACGTACATTATAATAAATTGCAATAAAAAGATCGATGCGATTAGCCAGAAAATTACTTTTACCAACCTTGATAATTTGAAATAATTTGATAACGACTTTGTTAATACACATTAATATCAAAACAATAGAATTACTTTAAAGCAGAATTATTTTTGTATCTTTATATATTAGATCGTGAATGTTTATGTAAATTCACATTTTTACGAACATAATGTGAAGAAACGAGATCTAGATAGATACATACAATTCTTCGGACGGTACAACTTTAGAGTAATTTACGCTGAATATTTTTTGCATTTGCTGTATGTTATATACATTTAAGTTTCTTGCAACAGAAACAATTCCATAATTGACGCAAAATTATTCCACGCGTCGAAATTAAAATTCATCGCCGATCTAACGTTGGAAATAAGCAAGACTAATTCATGTGCAGCTCGTCTCGTGGAGAAGCATAGTTTCTTTTTTCCTTTTTTTTGTTTTATCTGTCAACGAAAAGAAAAGCGTATAATTTTAGCCGAATTTCGCAACAGAAGCGAAATTTCTATTTTGCGTAAGCACACCGTGAAAAATATCCATCGTCCGTGAAACGCACCTGCTGCGTCCGAGGAAGGGCAGTGTCCGCGAATGAAGTATAGTGAAGGCGTCAAAATCATAGGAGAGGGCATGGGGATCGGAGCGTGAGCTACGCAGGAGATGTCGACAAGATGACAGCGGTTGCATGACCCTCGTCTCGTTGTTCCTTCGGAGTTAACGTTGTGGCGTGTGACCAGGTGGGGAAATCGTTTCGCGAACGAAACGAACGACTTATGCCTCGTTACGGCAGCACGTCCGTTTCAATAGATTCTCTGCGTCGGAACGAGATCGTAATCAGGCGAATTCGGGTAAGAGCCGCGATCGCCGCGCCCGTGAAATGTACACAGCGGCCTGAATCGTGCCCGAGATCATCGCCATCCCCGAGGAGTCCACCCTATAAACGGTCTGGAGTGAAGTAATGAGCGTTTTCGGGGATTTCCAGCGTGTCTGGGTACAAAGATTCCCGGACAGCGCCTTGCCGGCAGCTTGGGAAGAGGACGTCAGGGCCAACCTAGTCAAGCATAAACAGAAGGTAAGAATCCAATCGGAAATCCTGTGTTATTATCGTCCAGCTATAAAGACAGTTTTCTTCAGTAATGACGTTTCCAAGAATTTGTTATGTTAACACCCTTTTTCTTTGTAGATTTATTTGTTTGAATAAAAATTAGAGATGCTATACATGGAACAGTATGAAATTACTATTGTGTTTTAAACAATTAGTTGTACAAGGTTTTATTCTGGAAACTATAACACGTTATTTATAATTTGATGCAGTTCTTTAAAAGTAATGAAAGTACATTAATAAAATTGCATTATATAATTGTAATACTTTTAATATACTTTTATCTTATATTATTTCTTATAAGTAATTAATAAAGAGTTATTGCATTGAAGATGTTCAATTGTAATCTTCTTTTAAAAAGACTGTTTAATAAATTATTAACTTATTATATAAAATTTCCTTCTTACTAAGCCATTAGGAACTTCATCCTATGAGTCATCATATTAATTGCTTAACTGAGAAATTAAGTTATATTTTCAAAGTGATCTAGTCAAACTTATGTCCATTGTATTGATTTTATATTAATTTAAAATGTATTTATTTTATATATAAATTTTTTAAAAATATATATTTATGTAACTGAGAAAAAAATTAAATCATTAAATATATTTAATTGTCCAACATACTGAGAAAATATACTAAATATCTTCATCTGTGCGTGTATATTCTCACTGATTCATCATTTACTGCTATCTCAGTTCTGTTATCATTTGCTAAAAAGATGAGTTCATTATATATTATTTACATTTCACAATATAGTTATATAAAAATTAATTAAAAAATTGCTACTGTTTTCACAGGTGACTGCTTTGAGAGAAGAACTTGAAAAAGAGGAATTTTATGTAGAATATTTAGAAAGATTATTGGCTGATGTTGAACGTCATAAACAGTTGGCAAATATCAATATTGCAACCACACCTGACAAACAATCTACAGAATCTCAAAATCAACATAGTTGCCAAGTAACAGAGAATAATTTAACAGATTCTACAAGCTCCTCTAATGTTCAACATGTGGAATCATCAGCTCCACCTCTGCCTGCTCGTGAAGACATAAGTAAATTTCAGGACAAATGTGTTTCTGAACTGAGTTCTACTCTTAATACAAGTAAAAGACCCAAAAGTGAGATACCAAAAAGTCCTGATAAAGTGCCTGAACTTAGAAGAAACAGTGACCCAGATGTGCCAAGTAATTACGTCACTGTAATTGAAGTGACAGGAAGTTCAAAGAAAGATAAAAATGAAGAATCTCTTAAAGAGGAAGATGAAAAAGGTGTTATATTTATTTCATATCATTTTTTTATAATTGTATTTGGTTTATTGGTTCATATTTACAATTAATAAACAGATTTAGAAAATGCAGTTAATGAAGATGGAGAAGATGGTGATGCGGAGATATCTGAAGAGGAACCTTACTATGATTCTGTAGCTTTAGACCAAACAGGAGAATATGTATATATTGATGCACGTGTTCCACCTGTCGGAAATAATAATGGCAGTAAAGCACCACCAAGGAGACCACCGTCGTTACCTGACTCTCCAGGGAATCAGAGCAATTATGTCAACATTGATTATTTTATACAGTAAATTATTTTTATTTAAATATTATTGATTTTAATATCATTTTACATATGTAATATATTTGTTTATTTATAGACATCGAGCAGCAATGGATAGCGAAGATGAAGAGGGTGCAAGTCCTGCACCACCAATTTTATTACGCGCTCTTAGCACCGATAACGAAACTGGTAGTAGCGATGCGGAACCTTTAAGTCTAAGTGAAGGTAGTTTAGAATCACCAACACCAACTACACCTCGTCGGCAAGAGAAAAGTAAAGATCGTGAGGATGATAGAACGTCTATGATTAAATGTATTGTAAACTCGGTGGTAGAGAGTGAAACTATTTATGTTGAGTGTCTAAATGTAATGTTACAGGTATGTAATATGTTTATCGTTTTCCATGATATGCATAAATAATATGACTTTGGTTAAAAAAATATATTTTGTTTATAGTACATGAAAGCCATCAGGGCGACATTAACAACATCTCAACCTGTTATTTCTGAAGATGAATTTGGTACGATGTTTTATAAGATTCCAGAATTACATGCACTACATCAGACATTTTTAGACGGTCTCAGAAAGAAACTAGACAAATGGGATAGTAAAACTACTATAGGTGAACAATTTAAAGTAAGAATGATATATATTAAGAAATATAATATTACTTATGTTGTTTTAATGTTGAGAAATTTATTTTATTAATGTTCTATTATGGATTGGAAATTAAGATAATGGCTAGCAATATAGGATTATACGGAGCTTTTTTACATAATTATGCTCGCGCTACTGATACCGTGCGAAGGTGTTCTGCACATTCGACTCAATTCGGTGAAATTACAAGGGATATAAGACTTAGAGGATTTCCAAAAGGACCCGGTTTATCTCTTGAAGATCTTCTACATAAGCCGGTAGCTCGAGTACAAAAAAATGCGCTAGTATTGCATGTAAGTACTGTACAATATATGTTTTTATTAGTCAAATTTATATAGATATAGAAATATTGATAAAGCGCTGATTGGTTAAGTTGATAAAATGATGTGGAAATATACTTCGTAAGTTTTATCTTATCTCAGTCCGCATTGTCGTCCAATTGATTGTAGGATCTTCTTAAACACACGCCAGTGAATCATGCAGATCATGCACCACTTTCAGAAGCTCTTGCTATGACAAGAAATTTTCTAGACGAATTTAATATTATCCAAACAAAGTCAATGTTTCCGGTAAATAAACTATACTTATAATTAAAACTATTATCAATTTAGTGGTATTTAAAACTATATTATTTTTAGAGTCATGATAGAGCACAACGGAGATTAGTGAAAAACTCATTTGTGGTAGAGTTATCTGATGGTCATAGAAAGTTGAGACATCTTTTTCTTTTTAATGACGTAATTGCCTGTGCAAAGTATAAAGCTTCTGGTAGAGACAAATTTACATTTGAATTAAAATGGTATGTACCAGTGGCAGAGGCAGTAGTGACAGAAGATGGCGTTGAACCTCGTGAAACTAGTCCAGCTAATGTTGTAGCTTTGAGGTATGTATCAAAACCTATTATTTATTCTTAATAATAATTTATAGATCTATATAAAAATATACATATTTAGATCACAAGCGTGTACAGTACGTGATCAGATACTTTGGGAAGAACGAAATGATGAGAAACGAATTAGACTCGGTGGTAGAGGTTCAGAAAAAAATAGGAAGAAACTTGCTGAGCTTGAAGCTCAGTTGGTATTAGCATCTCCAAATTTAGTATTACGCGTTGCGCATAAAAGTCAACATCGAGTTCAAAACTCGTACACATTTTTTCTATCCAGTGAATTTGAACGTTCTCAATGGGTTGAAGCAGTGGAGGCATTGCAACAGGTAATGCGTTCCCATATGTACCTAGATAAGTCAAAGGTGCGTAATTCACAGATTTCGAATAAATAACATAAAAATATTTAATAATGAATTTTATTTAAATCCAACACGAGGATGCAAGTAACGATATTTAAAAAGAATGGTTAAATTTATTTGACGAAAGAAAATAAACGATAAACATAATTTTTCAGGGTGGACAACCTCCAGGGCCATTACCTTTATCAATGTACGAATTACAGGCTTGGGTTACAGCTTGTCGTACTTATCTTCAAACAGATATGGGAAGTTATTTACTGAGATCAGGACGCGATGAAAGTTTATTACTAGGCGACCTTCATTTAACTTTGCTTGGTTTGACACCGCCTGGTTTAGATAGAGTAGGAGATCTTTACATTATTGTAGAAGTTGATAGTTATGGACATTATTTTAAACGAGCAAGAAGTCGAGTTGCGAGAGGTCAAGCTCCAACTTGGGGTAAAGTTTTATTTTTACAAAAAATCATAGTTAAATAAATAAATTTCTTATAATTAATCATTTAATTTTAACTTATTTAAGGCGAGACATTCGTTGTGGAATTGGAAGGAAGTCAAAATGTTAGAATTTTGTTGTATGAAGAGTGTGGAACGCGTTCTGTATTACGTGGCAAATGCATACAAAGATTAAGTAGATCTTGGCTTCAATCGGATCAAGTAGAGAGGTCATTAAATTTAGGTCCAGCTACGTTAGACGTGGCTCTTCGTTTTGTTCCAAGTGAAGTGACATTAAGACGGGTACCATCTGCTAAACCTCAAGGTTTATTTGGAGCTAAAATTCAACAAGTGTGCAAGTATGTTTTGTAACTTTTGAATTCTTATGAAGTCTTATTTGAATCTTTTTATTGTAAATGTTTATTTAAATTTTTTTCATAAATATTTATATCTATATATTTTTTACAGACGTGAAAAACGCGACGTTCCTTTTATTGTAACTGCATGTGTTAGGGAAGTGGAAAGGAGAGGGGTCGGAGAGGTGGGATTGTATCGCGTTTCTGGCTCAGCTTCCGATCTAACAAAATTACGTAAATCATTTGAAAGCAATTCGTATGAAGCAGAACAACTGCTTAAAGAGGTAGTTAATGCATTACAAAAAGAAGTCCTTTTTTCCTCATTATTTAAAACCTATATCTTTAAAATCTGCCCATATCTTTATTATTTATACATTGATATGAATTTATTTTTATATTTCTAGGTTGACGTTCACTCTGTAACAGGTGTGCTCAAGTTATATCTCCGTGAAATGCCAGAAGCTCTCTTTACGGATGCTCTTTACCCAGCGTTTTTAGAAGCTTTTCAAACTGGCGAGCTATCAAAAGGTGCTGCTCTTAGAAGAGTATACGAAAGTCTGCCAACTGTGAACAAAGCGGTCATCGACTTTCTACTTACTCATTTAATACGAGTTAATAAACACGAGGCTCAAAATAAAATGTCTTTGCACAATCTAGCGACGGTATTCGGACCGACGCTTCTACGCCCTGGTACGAATTCGCGATCTGATGCAAAAAGTCGGGATCCATTAGCTGCGGGAACGGTGGACGTGATGGCACAGGCCGGTATACTTTATTGTTTCTTGCAAATGCATATGCAACAGAACAATCAATCACTCTAGTCGGAGAGATCCTTGTTGATATATCGTAGCGTTAGCTGCTTTTCGCGAGTCTGATTAAAAATCAGGCTCGTAGCAACTCACGTTGTAATGTAATATTAATGATTTTTTATAATATATATTTTATTAGTTTTGTGACGTATCGTTTATACAACGCTGAATTAGACGCATAAGTAGACAGGCTTTGAAAAAATCTTGATGGGTGAAATTCCTTCTGTATTGGTACGCATACATAACAATACTACAATAATGTAGTAAAGTGGACTTAAAAAAATACGTATTGTACTTTAAACTCTTTAATATATATTTTATACTTATATATGCGCGAAATCATAGCCGCGATTTCTTGTTACATGATGATTCTACAAACTTTTCCAAAAAAGAAAGGAAGCTATGTTAAAGGAAAGATTTCTCCCATGAAAGAGAGGGTGTGAGAGAGTGAGAAAGAAAACGAAACATAAATATGGAAGTCCGGTCGTTAACGCATCCACACTTTAGAAAATAAGTACTTTTTCTAATGGAGTGTGTTCCTAGCAGAGAATCTAAATTTTTTTACGTATATGTCCACAAGAATGTCCACGTATTCAAAATAATCACGTTCCTAAACATTTCAGGAAGCACGTTCCTCAAAATGTGCAAATCAAAGCTTCTAATAGTATATGCAAAATGTACTGGCTATATTCCATTTTGTCACTTAATATTTATGTTTTCTAGGAAAGCCACATTTTTTTGCCAAATCTATTCTTTATTGTAAGAATATTTTGAAAGAAATCTACATTCTCGAATTTTTGTAAAAAATATCACGGAATAACTTAAAATCAAGTTTTTAATATTTAAGCTGTGGTTAGACTCATATTTGTCTTTTATTCAATAATAATAACTTTGATATTTCAAAGATCTATTCATAAAATTCAAAAAGAAAAATATATTCTTCCAACACTTTGATAAATTAGACATACATATTTTGTATATGTAACTTTAAAGTATTATATTTTATTATTATATACATATATATACATATATAATATATATGTGTGTGTACATTCTTCTGCCATATTGTCAGTGAGACATAGAAATCGTTTTAATCAATTTTTTTTAGCAACCATTTTTTAGATTTCCTTTTCAAATTAAGTTTTTAAGTCTAAGTGCAGCTTAATTAAATATCAAAGAGATGAATTCTCTCTCATATCTTTAATATTTTGCAAATTTTGAACAAAATTTTTTCACTTTTTAGCTATCAAATAACTATATCATAGTATTAAGCAATGGTATTTTTCTATTATTACGTAACCAAGTTACTTATGAACATCTTCATGTTCACTAGGTTTTTAGAAATATTGCTTTTTATTAAAAAAGAAGAAGACACCTTATTCTGGAAACGTTTGCTTCAGAGGATTGAAATACAGAATAGTGCATTTGGCAGTACAAATTTAATTCTCGATAGAATTCCTTGTTGTTACATGCTAGGATGTTTGAGAACAACTTTGTAATCGAGGTAAAAGACAATGAGTGTTCAATCTCTAATGAGTGTTCGATAAAAGACGGAGTCGTGCATAAGAATTAAATGAAATAAAAAAAAAAAAAAACGAAGAAACAAAAGAACAAATTACAGAAGAGAAACAAAAAATCATATTGTTATTATTCCGGAAGTAATTTTCACGCTTGAACGAACAAGGCAACTATTGTGTGCGTGACTTCAGCCTGTACGTGCGTGTATATGTATGTATGTATAACCCGCCCCTGTGTATTATATCGTAAATAATTGGATATTTTTAATTTTTATATCATATTTAGCGTTAAGGTGCGTCTCTCTTTTGTACATTCGTAAAACGTGTAAAGACGAAGTTTCAGCTATCGTGATTGATTGATTGATTATTAGTATTATTACTATTATTATTATTATTATT